AGAAATTTGGAATCCATAATGTTTCTGGAAGAGATGAATTGCATTTGCATGATGCCTATATCAGGTTCAGAAATTGTTATAACACTGTTGTGCCTTAATGACTATTATATTTGAAATATATAATAAATGGGTGAAGTGTGACCTGGTTCTTAATTCCCATGTGCTCCATGAACTGGATTTTGAATTGTCGATGGAATAGGATGTCACACCACTATTGTTTTTGCTTCACCTATTACAGTATATTTTGAAATTGAATGTATTCAAATTAAAATCATGACTTGGGTGTTGATTTAATACTCATTGTGTTAACAGTCCAATACAAATTATGCAAACCTGCAGTACACATGGCTATATATTTGCTACACATAGACGACACACCACTATAACAAACTAGTGTGCTACAGAATGGCATGGACTTTCTCGTATTAGTTTTCCATTTCCTTTCTCGGCTAGCTATTCTGTCTTACCCCATCCTCTTCCCATTGCAATGGATATCGCTGCCCAAATTATATTCTTTTAAAATTTTCTCAATATTCCCGTTTTCTAATTATAGAACCAAATTTATAAATAAAATAATAATAAAAATATTATTTTATAATAAATAATAAATCCCTGGTAGTAGTAGTCTGCGTCTCCTATCGACGCGTCCCCAGGGTGGCAGATCGGGGAATGCTCTTTAGGCCACGCCGGAGGGTAGGTGGGAAATAAATACCACCCGTGGACCAAATCCAGACGCTGGGCGGCAGCGTTTAAAACGCTAGGGGACGGTGACCCCGAAAAGAAACCCACGATGGAAGGCCCTCAGGATCAACCGTTACGGTGCAGGGGATCGGAGACCCAGCACCGGCAGCCGGGTGGGCAAGCAGCCCCCGGCGGTCGTCAACCAGCGACTGCAAATCTCAGCGACGTGGACCGCTTGGCCACTCTGAAATACTATACTGCGTGAAGCGAAAAGCCTAGAGCGTGCAGGTTTTAACCCCTTTTCTGGAAAGTCAAAACTGCGGAGATCGCCTCCAAGTACCCCAACCACTCCAGGATACCTACCGACCAGCGGAAGCGAAATCAAGCACGGCTGCGACGAGATGGCGCGGCAAATCCGCCGCCAAGTGGACCATGGGGACGGCAGGGACTTGTGGAGGGAAAGGAATTGATAATCTTGTAGCAGGAAGTAAGGAACAGCAGCTGACCTCATAATAGAAAAATGGGGAACTATGCAACAGCTGGTAGAATTCCAAGGACTGAATCAAAGCCTTAGGGCATAGAGAAGCATATGCTCCAAAAACAATCGATGAGTGTAATGTGTAGTCCTGCCTAGAGCTATACAAAATATCATACCCTGAAGTATTAGGTACAAGAGGTATGTAGATGAAAAGATAGAATTTTTTCAGGGATCCTGAACTCTCTATTGAGTGGAGAGAAGGAAACTAATGTAAGGGAAGATAAGAAAGACGTGCAAAGAAAAAGGAGGGCGGCACCTAGTCCACCAGAAAGAACTTAATAGAAGAGATAGAAAGATAAACAAAAGGAGATAACTTACGGTGAAGGTTCCACCAGGGGAAAAGCAAGCAAAACAGGGTGAGGTGAAAAACTATCTGAAAAGACAGAAGACCAAACAGGCGGAGAACTGGTAGCTTCAACAAAGCAGGGAAAGAGAAAAATATACAAAAGAAGCCAGGAGCTAAGACAACAGCAGGAAGTAAACCCAGCTATCAAAAGTGGCAGCTAGACAAGGAGAAACGTATGCTGACGTTATAAAGAAGATGTATGAGACCGCGAACCCTAGGATACCGCGCAAAGATATTGGCTATACGGGGAGGACAAAAAGGAAGAGCTACTTATCGTACTGAAAAAACTGGAAATATTACCTCATTGAATGAGGCTTTGGAGAAAGAGCGGCGAGGAATCAAGCTCAAATGAGTGCTCTTGAACGAAAGAGCCTAATAGAAATTAGAGATATTGATGAAACAGTCCACCCGCCTGAGGAGGTGTTGGAGGCGTGAGCAAAATTATAAACGAAGCTACAGAACCAGGATGGCCCACCCCGTGTAGGATGCGCAGAGGATACGGAGGAATACAATCAAGCCACAATGTTGATGGGAAGAAGAGATAGCTCAAAGTTGATGCGGACATATTAAGATCGATGGGTTAACTGTAGAATCAGGGAAAAACTCCAGAAACAAAAATGTTATAGATGTCTAGGACTTTGGTCTTATTTCAACGAATTGCAGAAGTTCTGTTCGTAGCGAAGTATGTACGAGATGTGGTAGAACGGGACATGTTAGAACTGTTACCAACGAGAACAATGAGTTCTTATGTACAGACAAAAAAAGGGATCAACATCTGTTAGAAGTAAAAATGTGCCTCCTTTATACGGCGGTTCAAAAACAAAACAAATTCAAGTATGCTTCGTCTCCTACAGATTAACCTGGGGAGGAGTAAGCAGACACACGGAACTTGATGCTGCAGGTTGGGGGAGAGAGAGGATGTTGGATGTGTACTTAGTGAGCACCTTTCTGTGAGGAATACATTGTATCGAGATACCACTGGAAGAGCGGGATAATTAATCCTTAATAGGAAGCTAAGTATTAATAAATATAAAAAGACAAAGTATGGGTTGAGGTGTATAATATGAGTATTGATAGCTGTTTACTTTTCTCCAACGATAACATTACAGAATTTCAAAAAGACAGCGACGATTGGAGGCAAGTCTGAAAACAACGAAAGGAGGTTTTGAAGCAGGTGATTTCAATGGTAAATCGTCGGAATGGAGACACGCTCTGACAGAAGAGGAGCTATTATATGTGAGTTTGTAGCAAGAAAACGATCTTATCATCCTAAACTCTGGGAACGAGAACACTTTCCAACGGGGAGATCCTTCATCTATAACTGGATTTGACAATAAGTACTTCCAGACTGGCTAAGGCATCACGGAACTGGATAGTATGAGATGAAGAAACCTTAAGTGACCACCAATACATAGCGGTTGCCATAGTATCAGAGGACCACCAATATGGTAAGCGAGATACACAAGAGGGCCATCTTGGAATACCAAAAAACGTAATGATGATAAGGGAAAAACGCCTCTTGGAAGAATCCATGTTACTGTCAAGCATGGTTTGGACAAATAAAGGCGAAAACATTCGAAAAGGTGGTACAGACGACGGAAGAAATAGTGACACGTGTATGCCTAGAAGCAGTGGCCCAGGAATAAACAACAAATGTACTCGTCGGTGAAGCAGTGAAGAATATGAAATACGGGAAGGCACCAGGTTGGGATCCCTCCGAAATATTAAAATTAGTGGTACAAGAATATCCAGAATGTTTCTGGCAGCCTATAACAGATGCCTTAAGGATGGGAATTTTACAAAGAAACTGGAAAAACAAAAGCTCATACTCCTCCGGAAGGTAAAAACCGTTGGAACAGACATAGTCGTATACGTACCACTGTGCCTTCTTGATACTATGGGCGAGTTACTGGAGGGGCTAATACTCTCAAGACTTGAGGAATATATAAGCTTTTCTCGTAGACAAATGAATTTCAGAAGGCGGTTCGACAAACGATGCGATTTAGAAGTAGTTCGCATAGCAGATGCAGCTAGAAATGGAACTGGGAGGAAGAAGGGATTCTGCGCACTGGTAGCAATTGATATTAGAAGCGCGCCTTCAACTCAGCCAGGTCGAAGGACATCATGGAAGCATTGGCTGAAAGGGAAGCATTGCTGAATATTTGTTAAGGATCATCGAGGACTACCTTCATGAAAGAAAGGTAATTTATATGGATAGCATCAATTGAAGAAAATTATGACGTCTGGAGTTCCACAAGGTCCAGACTTGCCCTTTTTATGGAAAGTACTGTATGATGGCCATATTAATAAATACGCAGATAATAGATACGCGATGACACACTAATAATAAGTCTAGTGACGATATTTAGGTTGCTTGAACTAAGAGTGAATGAAGCACTCTAATAGAATTAAAAGATGACTAGACAGACTTAATTAACGTGTTAATTTCCGATCGAGAGGCTTTCGTTTCCCGATGTCCGACTGGGAGAAGAGAGAATAAACTGAAAGCGCCAAATAACATATCTAGGGGTGAGATAGACAATAGACTTAAGTTTGGGCTACACATAAGTGTGATGGCAGAAAAGGCAGCGAGGACAGGATCCAACTTAGCAAGAAGACTACCAATGTAGGTGGACCATGAGAAGCCAAGAGAAGGTTGATATCTGGAGTAGTTCATTCACAACTGATGTATGCAGCACCAGTCTGGGCGAGTTTATTGGAGAAACAGGTTATGAGAAATAAGTATGCTCAAGTGCAAAGACGAATCGCCCTGAGGGGCGGCTGCCTACCGCACGGTGTCTATTTGCGCAGTGCTAGTATTGGCCAGTATTCCGTCCATCGATCTACTAGCTATGGAAACGAAAAGAACTACTCCGCCTTACAGGAAGCTCGACAAGTAAACAGCCATCTCCCCCCTCCCAAGGAAATAGACACTATTAAGAGCGATGCTAGGAAACTACTTTTGAAGAGTGGCAAAGAAAATGGAATGTGGAATGCTAAAAGGTAGATGGACACATCGGAAATTAAAAGCTTTTAGAGATTGGGTCGGTCGAAAGGTTCGGAGGTGAATTATTACGCATCCCAGGCTTTTACGCGGACCACGTGCTTTGGTAAATACCTTTACGATTACAAGATTAACAAAGTCCGACATGTAACCTTAGTCGAGAAGATATGTGATGCAGAGCATACGCTGTTTCAGCGCAAGGCATGGGATGCAAAGGGAGATTTGTAACGTTAAGCTTCAACAAGTGGATAATAATGTTAAGGAACATGGTTGGGCCATGATGTTAGTTCAGAGAAGTGGACTATAATAGACAACTACGTATTTAATACCATTAAGGAAAAGGGGCGGAGGAGTTAAAGCACTGCTTCCAGTCCATCGTTCCACGCGAAGTAATGTCTAGCGACGGTTCCGCGTGGGAGAAATCACGGACTTAGGAGATGAAGGTTTAGGTGTTGTAGTGCGGTAAACCAAGAATGGAAGTACAAACAGTACTGGCTTCACCGGTCTCCATAAAGGATTTCCCCCTAACAAAACAATAATAATGATAATATTTATTCAGTCAGTATACAAATTACCAATACGGTATAGACGAGTCAATATGATGTCTTGGGTGGAGAAAGCCGAAGTTACATTCTGTTCAGGAGCAAACACAAGGGCCATAGAAACTGAACAAAGCTGATCGAGATGGGGTCTATTGCCTAGAATTTTATACAATACTTGATATAGATAAAAAGGCATTTATATGTCAGTTGATTATTTTAGTAGCAGATAATTTAAAAATTTCAAGATGTTGTCTTTTAATGCTACTACTTATAATAATAATATGAAAACAAAAACGTATCAATTGTGTTAGCAACATGAGTACATTCTATATTTGAAACTCGAAAGTGAGAGAGCAGCGAAGAGCGAGGAGCAGGTTTCTTCTACTTCGCTTCTTTGCATTTGTACACGTATCTACTAAGCACCTAATGCGCCGGCTTCTCCTACGTCACAGAAATGCAGATATGCCAGATTTTTTTTCTTTGATTCAGCTCAGACAGTCAACATGGAACAGAAAGTCAAATAGGATACATTTTAATGTATATTTTTAAGGGAAATGTGATTTGAAATTCCTTTACACTGTAAGAACATGTTTGTTAAGCAGGAAAGCCTTTCAATTTGCTTTTAAATGTATGAATTGTGTTTATGTCTTTTGATATCATTTGCCTAGTTTGTTGTAAAGTGTAATGCCCTCTATTAGGTACTTTTTTTGATTAAAGTGTAGTTTAGAAGTGGGGAACGTGTAGGTTATCCTTTTGACGGGGTTGTAGTTATGTACATCAGAATTTAAAGTAAAAGTGTCTTTGTTTTCCATGAGAAATTTCTTTGTGAAGACCACTATTTCAAATCTATGCATGCATGGTAGAGAAGAATCCTTAGTTTATTGAACAAAGGTTTCAAGACTCCAGCTTATGAGTGCTGGGTCATTGTTCGCAATAATTCTTTTCGGATAATGTGCGAGTGTTTCCAGGGGCATTTCCCCAGAATATTATTCCTATTTTAGGGTGTGAGTGCACATTTGCAAAAATACATTGTTCGAAGTGCTCAAATGTTGAGAGCTTGACTGATGACAAGATCTGGTGAGCTTGTTAAAATTTGAGATGTGAGGCATTCATTTTAGGTTTTCTTGAATTGTTAGACCCGAAAAAAGTGTTCTGCTCAAAAGTCAGTTTGTTTATCCATCCGTCCTGTGAACACCACTATCCTAACCACAAACATCCTAAACATGCGTAATTTTTTTTCCAAATTGTCCACTGGACTCGAGACGAAGCTCTATTTTTAAAACTTTGTTTAAAATTTGGGGGTGTATTAGAAAAAGCGCCCCGGAATTTTCAAAGATTTTCTCAAAAACGGGCTCCAATTTTTTCTTTAAATTTAAGTAAAACACATCTATAAAGGAGGCATAGGTCCGATTTTCACCTCTAACTCTGATTTTCAATAATTTGAACTTGACGTTTTCCTACCAACTACAAAATTGAAAATAGAAATTGTTCCTCCAAATGGAATTGTGTTGTCCATAATTTGTCTTTCATTAAGGTAATATATTTTTTATTATAATAATTTTACACAATCTTGCGAGCAATACGTGCAAATTTTAAAAAATTACAAAAAAAAAAACTAAACTCTCAAAAACTGGCTCCAATTATTTTCTTTAAAACTTTGATTGGTAATGCTAAAGTAAGTACTCTAGAGGAAACGCGTTATTTCAGCTCATTCTTTGTTTTTCAAATTTACGAATGTAATTTATTACGTGCCTCACGTCGTTAATATTCATATTACGGGATTTGTTCACATTATAAATGTACGAGTACATGAGCTTTAAATGGTCATATAAAGTTTCTCACATTTTTCTCTGAAAACTAGTCTCGAACTTTCGTATTTTCAGAAATGCTTAAAAAGGCCATTTTCTCAAAAACGCCTTCCAAATTATGCGTCAACTTTTTCGAAGGAAATTACTAATTGCACTGTTTAATATGACATAACTTAATCACTTTTTATTTGTTGAGAAAATATTTTAATTTTTTTTTCTGGAGGTTGAAATTAGAGAAAAGACCACTTACAAACATCTTGGCTTCAATTTTTTTTGGTAAAGTTAAAAATCTTACCAGGAAAAGAATAAAATATCCCTTTGGAAACGGGATCAGAGAGGGATATAGATTGTAAGAATGTGAGTGAAAAAATTTTAAAGTGAGATAGATGAATGATGTTCAAAAAGATGTTTAAAGAGACTGGCCTGAGACAGTAATATACCTGGAGGTTATAACCAACATTTATATAATTCAAGTCGAACAAGTCAAAGATCGTCCTGCAAGTCGAACAAGGGCGAGGTTCGTCCAGCAAGTCTGAGGATTGTCCTGCTAATCTGAACAAGTCGAGGATCGTCCAGCAAGTCGAACAAGTAGAGGATCGTCCGCAAGTCGAACAAGTGGAGGATCGTCCTGCCAAGTCGAACAAGTGCGAGGATCGTCCTGCTAAGTCGAACAAGTGGAGGATCGTCCTGCAAGTCGAACAAGTGAGATCGTCCTGCAAGTCGAACAAGTGGAGGGATTCGTCCTGCAAGTCGAACAAGTGGAGGATCGTCCTGCAAGTCGAACAAGTGGATGGATCGTCTGCAAGTCGAACAAGTGGAGATCGTCATGCAAGTCGAACAAGTGGAGGATCGTACAGCAATTCGAACAAGTGGAGATTCGTACAGCAATTCGAACAATGGAGGATCGTACAGCGATTCGAACAAGTGAGGATCGTACAGCAATTCGAACAAGTGGAGGATCGTCTGCAAGTCGAACAAGTGGAGGAGCGTCCTGCAAGTCGAACAAGTGCGAGATCGTCACACGTCGAACAAGGTGCGAGGATCGTCCTGCAAATAAGAACAAATCGAGGACCGTCCTGCAATCGACAAAGTCGAGGATCATCCTGCAAGTCGAACAAGGCCGAGGATCGTCGCAACAAGTGGAGGTTCGTCCAGCAAATCTACAAGCACAGGATAGTCTAGCAAGTTAGAACAGGTTCGAGGATTAGTATGTCCACGTGGGCTATGGTCATAATGTATTTAAAATTCATGGTCTATAGATTCATTAGTTCACCTACATTGGTACATACTATAAGCATAGAAACTCAACAATTCATTTCACGTAACATACGTTGTACAAATCGCAAAAGAAGGTAGACAAAATGTGTAAAATTTACAATTGCAAAAATCACGTATAGGGACATCCGATTGTTATTTTTACATGTAATGATTGCATGTGGTATATTCTCCAAATGATTACTCGATAATGTAACGTTTAAAAATGTAATTGGGAGACCATGTCTCAAGACAACAGGATAACGGGTGGGCCTATGCTGCAACAGTATGGGAACCTAGAATCAGAAGTGTTCCAGGAAGACAACGTAATTGATGGGTGGACAACTTTAAGGATCGGCTGATCGAAATTGGATGAAAGGCTGCACGCAGAGTCATGGCAAACAAGCTGCATCGTGGAAATTAAGGAAGTGCCACCAGTGAAAGTGTTGTGAAACAATTATAAATATTAAAAGACAGCCAAATTACATGGCAATTTCTTTTATTAGTGGTAATCAATACAGATTAACATGTGTGAATTTATTCATTTACATAGATGTACTAAACCAAACTGCACGACCACAAACCCAGTAGAACTTTCTGGGAAACCAGCAGGCCCTAGCCCTTCAGGGATTCTAATAGGGTTCATATAATTAATAATATACGAAAAAATATCGAAATTTTAAATTGTCATGAAATTGAGACCACGTACATTCACATACAAATCGCTGCGAAAATCGTAAATCTTCCAGCAAAGTGAACAGTGCTAAGAAACTTGGAGAATCTCCTCAAAAAGCTGCAGGGCACACGACGCATGCAATGATCGCACTTGCGACTAAAGGAATCCGACAGATGACGAATCTTCACTGATGACGGACACATCGCACTCCTCGAAGCGTAATACTTTTGCCCATGGCAGCTCTATTTGTGGGTGCGTTCTCCAGTGTGAGTGCGGTTGTGTTTGAGGAGTTTGAGGCATTTCTCACTGAATGCTTTACTGCACACGCTGCAACTGTGCGGACGTTCTCCTGTGTGCGTGCGCATGTGAGTGACGAGGGTTGATTTCTCGCTGAATGCTTTACCGCACACGTTGCAGCTATGGGGGCGTTCTCCCGTGTATGCGGTTGTGAATAAGGAATTTCGACTTCACGCTGAATGCCATCCCGCATACGCTGCAACTGTGCTGGGGTTCTCCCGTGTGCATGCGCATATGAGATGTGAGTGTTGATTTTTCGCTGAACGCCTTCCCGCACACGTTGCAACTGTGCGGGCGTTCTCCCGTGTGCGTGCGCATGTGAGCGGCGAGGTTGACTTTTTTGCTGAATGCTTTACCGCACACGCTGCAGCTGTGCGGGCGTTCTCCCGTGTGCGTGTGCATGTGAGAGGCGAGGTGCTGTTTTTGGCTGAATGCTTTACTGCACACGCTGCAACTGTGCAGGCGTTCTCCCGTGTGCGTGCGCATATGAGTGACGAGGCTTGATTTATGGCTGAATTCCTTACCGCACACGCTGCAACTGTGCGGGCGTTCTCCCGTGTGCGTGTGCATGTGAGAGGCGAGGTGCCGTTTTTGGCTGAATGTTTTACTGCACACGCTGCAACTGTGTGGGCGTTCTCCCATGTGCATGCGCATGTGAGAGGCGAGGTGCTGTTTTTGGCTGAATGCTTTACTGCACACGCTGCAACTGTGCGGGCGCTCTCCCGTGTGCGTGCGCATGTGACAGGCGAGGTTGAGTTTTTTGCTGAATGCTTTACCGCACACGCTGCAGCTGTGCGGGCGTTCTCCAGTGTGAATGCGCATATGAGATGCGAGTGTTGATTTCTGGCTGAATGCCATCCCGCATACGCTGCAACTGTGCGGCCGTTCTCCCGTGTGCGTGCGCATATGAATTGCGAGGGTTTCTGTAACCCTGAACGCTTTCCCGCACACGCTGCAACTGTACGGTCGTTCTCCCGTGTGTATGCGGTTGTGAATAAGGAATTTCGACTTCACGCTGAATGCCATCCCGCATACGCTGCAAATGTGCTGGAGTTCTCCCGTGTGCGTCCGCAAATGTGTGTAGAGAGTTGATTTATGGCTGAATGCCTTAGAGCACACGCTGCAACTGTGCGGGCGTTCTCCTGTGTGCGTGCGCATGTGAGTGACGAGGGTTGATTTCTCGCTGAATGCTTTACCGCACACGCTGCAACTGTGTCAGTGATCTCCCGCGTGCGTCCGCAAATGTGAGACGAGAGTTGATTTATGGCTGAATGCCTTAGAACACACGCTGCAACTGTGCGGGCGTTCTCCCGTGTGCGTCCGCAAATGTGAGACGAGAGTTGAGTTATGGCTGAATGCCTTAGAGCACACGCTGCAACTGTGCGGGTGTTCTCCCGTGTGCATGCGCATATGAGTGATGAGGTTTGATTTCTGGCTGAATCCCATCCCGCATACGCTGCAACTGTGCGGGCGTTCTCCCGTGTGCATACGCATATGAGTGGCGAGGTTTGATTCATGGCTGAATGCCTTGGAGCACACGCTGAAACTGTGCGGGCGTTCTCCGGTGTGAGTGCGGTTGTGAATGAGGAGTTTATGTTTCTCGCTGAATGTCTTCCCGCACACGCTGCAACTGTGCGGGCGTTCTCCGGTGTGAGTGTGGTAGTGAATGAGGAGTTTATGTTTCTGGCTGAATGCCTTTCCGCACACGCTGCAACTGTGCGGGCGTTCTCCCGTGTGCGTACGCATATGAGTGGCGAGGTTTGATTTATGGCTGAATGCCTTGGAGCACACGCTGCAACTGTGCGGGCGTTCTCCCGTGTGCGTGCGCATGTGATTGACGAGGGTTGATTTCTCGCTGAATGCTTTACCGCACACGCTGCAACTGTGTGGGCGTTCGCCCGTGTGCGTGATCATATGAGTCCTGACGTTTGATTTCTGGCTGAATGCCTTACCGCACACGCTGCAGCTGTGGGGGCGTTCTCCCGTGTGATTGCGCATGTGAGAGGCGAGGTGCTGTTTTCGGCTAAATGCTTTCCTGCACACGCTGCAACTGTATGGGCGTTCGCACGTGTGCATGCGCATATGAGTGATGAGGTTTGATTTCAGGCTGAATGCCTTCCCGCACACACTGCAATTGTGCGGGCGTTCTCCCGTGTGCGTGAGCATATGAGAGGCGAGGTGCTGTTTTTCGCTGAATGCAGTAAAGCACACGCTGCAGTTGTGCGGGCGTTCTCTTGTGTGCGTGCGCATGTGAGAGGCGAGGTTTGCTTTCCTGCTAAATGCCTTCCCGCACACGTCGCAGCTGTACTGTCGATCTCCCGTACGAGTGCGGCTGTGAATGAGGAGCTTTGACTTCGGCGTGTCTCCCGTGGGCGCGTGCGTGGGAAGTTGGAGGCCTTCGGACGAAGTGAGGGCGGCAGGGCGCTCCTTGGGGGCTTGACTCTCCAGAAGGCCCGCGTGCACCTGCAGCCCCGAGGGCGAAGCGCAAGTCTTCTCCTGCGGTCTCCTCCGCCGCGGCCCGTCGGCGTTCCGCTTCCCCTCGGCCTCCGCGCCTGCACAAACACAAAATTACTCCCATTGGTCACTAGACCCTCACTATGCCACAGAAGCTACATCAATTTCTGGCTTAATGGCAAGATTCCTGACTCCGGAAATAAAAAAAAAGTGTATTTTTTTCACTTTCACGTACTTATATACTCCGTATAGAGAAAGTTATCTAATGCTGCGGAAAATTGATATTTTCATATATTATATATATTTCATAATAAACATTTCAACGGAAATACACGTTTTGAGCTCCTCATACCGAAAAAGTGGTCTCCTTCGAAATGTCTGTTCCTTGGTCTATAAACATCACTAGCACCTAAAGCAAAAGAACGATTTTTCCGAAATCGACATTCCCTAGTCGATCTACTTCGACTAGAGGCACAGAATATTTGAAAACCTTTCTTCAATATTTAGGTGTGGTGAGGCTGCGAAATATTGGTTAGATGTATTGGGAGAGCACTAGCAGAAACTGCCACGAACATTGCCTTCCACGTTCTTAGACGAGAGTTCTGGAAATGACTGGACACATAATTGACAAAGATGACTACTTTGCCGAAAGAATCACCGAGTATTGAATCGGCTGTCATGGTTATCTCCGTACGGGCGAAAATAAACGTTTCATTTAGCCTCCGTGCACGATCGCTACTCGCGAAACTACTCGCGGCAATTTTTATAACAATGCGACCTCGTTGCGTCTGATGTGGGAAAAATTGGATTCCGAGAAATCCCACAATGGGTCAATGTTTTGTCGCGGCCACCCAGGAAGTGGTGCAATCTTTTGGTGACTCTTTGAACAGTAAGCAGTTGACAATCGATGTCAGAGGAACTTTAGAGACCATCAGATGCAATTATTAACTTTCTGGTAGCATTTTCTATTTTGAATATCTTGGACATACTTCCATTTTAGATTTCGTCCCTTACATCGTGAGAAGAGAAAGCATTGTTATCATCCGCCGGAAAACGGCGATATTGAGGAACAAATTTTCAAAACAAATTGCGAAATAATACATTTGAATATTCTATTTTCGTTCATTTAATGTTTACATGGGAAACGGGTCATAGAAAAAGCCAGTGAATTTCAGTTCCCCAGACACGTCATTTTATGAAATAATATTACATAAAAATACGGTACTTAATAAGCGAAGAAATCTTGAACGTTCCAGGAACTTGTACAGAGGACGCCAGTGTAGCAGACGACTCCGGGGCCAAACGAGAAGAAACTTTCGAAGCTGCCGTTGAAAGTCGGTCTTCTTCGACTCGATTTCCCATCGAAATCCCTAAACATGCTCCAAAAAATGTACAATCGCCAGAAAGTACCTCTACGAAATGCGACACGGGAGATGTACACGGGACAATGTAAATGGGAGGCGCTCCCTTTTACATTGGAAAGAAAAGGCTGAACTTGTAACAGAGTCCGAGACATTGATGAGAAAGGTAAACACAATTATTTTATTATTACAAAATCAATTTGAAACTTTTGAAATCGTACTATTTATTGTTTTTTGCAAAGAACATTCGTGTCATCGACAATCAGATCCGTTCTTCCGTTTTTAACAGACGTGTACATATCGTTTATGTATAATAGAAAGGATATGACCTAAGATTGAGCCTTGCGGGACCCCATATTCAATTGGTAAAGAATTGGAAAGGATAGTATATAATGTCCTTTCGTGCTAGTACTGTATAGTACTCTTTGAGGTCGTTGATTAAGGTACGAGGTTTTATAATCTAGGGCGATACCACCAATTCCATAAGATGATAATTTTGTTAGCAAGATGTTATGGTCAATAGCGTTGAAAGCTTTCAAAAGATCTAAAAATATTCGAACGGGTGCCTTATTTTGATCCACTGATGAAGCAACATCTTTAAGAAAAGAAAAAATGCAGTTACCGTAGACTTTGATTTTGGAAACCCGTGTTGTGAGTCTGAAAATGTGTCTCTTTTCCCGAGAAAAGTTTCCATTTGTGTATAGAAAAGCCTCTTTAATATTTTTGAGAAATCTGACAAAAGAGAAATTGGTTGGTAATTTTCAATTACATTTTTGTTTCCTTTTTCAAAAAGTGGCTTAGTTATTGCTATTTTGAAAATACCTGGAAATATTTCTGTGCATAAAGAAGTATTGAAAATATAAGTTAACGGGTGTATAAAGGCAGGCACACAAGTTTTCAATGAACAATCCGGAATTCATCTAAACCAGATGAATATTTATTTCTTAGTTTACTAACTATTCTCAAGGTTTCGTTAGAAGTTTCAGAAATAAACATCGTGTCTACAATTTTTTGGGAAGGCAATGGTGTTGAATTTTGCGGTAATAGTCCATTCGTGAGTTCAGCCGCAATTCTAGAAAAGTGTTGGTTGAAGATACTTGCCACTTTTCCCTGATTAATTGCTTCTCTTTCATTATCCTTTAAAACAAAATTCTCTACTAAGTAAAGAGATGAGGTCGTATTTTTTAAGATATTCCGCATTGCTTCGTTTTGTTACTAGCGTTCAAAATATCCTAATTAGTTTTCATTATTTTTGCCTGAACTATTACCTTTCTTAAAATTCTTTTGCATTCTCGGATGTAGACATGGAAGTTGTCCGCTCTGCACAATAATTTGTCTTCATGTTATTAGTAATTGTACGAATTTGTGCATCGTGGTCACTGTAACCTAGATTAGTAGTTTTTATTTCATATTTAGTTGCTCTAGTTTTCTTCAATAATAAATATCTACCTACATATATCAGGATTAGCGGAAAACGTGATTTTATGAGTAAACATTTTAAATATAAATATTGTAAATTCATTAAAACAACGTTCTTACTTGCAATTCTAGTATTTTGTAACAGTGATGAATTTCTTTTGTATGTGATGTAATTGGTTTAGGGTCTGCTCCACCGGTGCATGATAAAGTGTCTGATAATCTATCTAGAAGTTATCGCACTGATATTGTGACGTCATGGATACTCACAGCGACCACAGACACAGAGCTTTCATATAACAATATATTTATTAACAAAGAAAACAAAACAAATATATACACTTAATATCCTACTTACACCCTAGCTCTGATAGACCTATCCCCTGATCGCGGGAGCGATCCAAACCCGATTGAAGATGGTTTCGATTGTGGCATTCGCCACTCTTGCTTCTGAAGCGCGCACAAAGCCTAGCTTCCGTGACCGGATGTCACGCTGGGACACAAAGTCCGTTCTGGCGCACCAACGGCTGATTGGCCTCGATCGCAGGAGCGATCTTATCCGATTGAGAATCGGCGTGAATCGTGGCACTCAACCACTCTTCACCTCGGAGCACGCACACAGCATCGCTCCCCCGTGACCGCAGTCACCCAAGGACCTAAAGTCCGCAGGCATCGTCAACTAGTGACTCGAGCCTCGCGAGCCTGGCTCGCATATGCACCGTCGTGGCGCCAAGTTTTGTGCACATGCACGAGGTTCTCTCACTGTCTCCAGAACCCACCCACTGGCTCTGTACACTCTGTTATGTAGGCGAGGCCCACGTGACCTACTACGTCACGCCACCGCCCCCGCCTGTTATAACAGTGAAAGGTTTCCATAGGCCGGAAGACCCCAAAGCCTTGTGTCTCCCGTTTCCGCGTTCTTGCCTTTACGGAAAAACCCTTCTCTCCTTCCTGTGGCGAGGCTAATCCTCTACCAAGCGTCCCCAAATAGATGCCACGAGGCACGCTGGCTAATACGTTACAATATGTTGGAAATTTGTGTTTTACGAGTGACAGATAAATCTATCCAGTTGAAGTGTCTGGTAAATTATCTGGAGGTTCGAGAGGCTGTTAAATGTTTATCTGGTAGATAACTCCCAAGTAACAGAATTTGAGTGTGAACTTGCTGTGATTTTCAAGGATCATCTGCAGTATTTCCAATGGACAACGCAATAGAGATAACAGACACCGAATTCATTGATTGTTTATTGAGATCATTGTCGAAAAAGATTGCAAATCCCGTTTTAGGTTAAGGAAGCCTACGGTTAGCAAAGCTATGTCTTTGATTGATCAGAAAATAAAAGATTTATCAATACCGACCAATATCTCTCTAATTTCCTGGTAAAGTAATGGTCAGGTTAAATTCATTTTATGTCAAAATAATAAAATGTATACTTCGTGTTTTGTTAGCAATTCTGAGGCAACACCAATGAACTGACTTTGCACTCAGCGTTATATTGAAAAAAAAAAAAAATTTTCTTCTCGTAATTTCAGTCTTCATTGAGGTGAGCAATCTACTGCTTCAAGTGTAGTGAGTTCGTGAAGCTTCCAAGGAATATAGATATCACCCAAGAAGATTTTCATGAAATTAGATTTTCTAGAGTTCTTGCAGTAATAGATGTGCACATATGTTCCCATACAATCACCTGATTTTATTGTCTTCTACTCTACATAGTGACTGCCTTGTGTACTATCTTTATAAAATGTTTCTTAAGAAATTAATTAAACACAATTATCTTTTTCTTTTTACAATCAATGATTTTTTTCTTCAAAAGCTATCTTTATTGTCCAACATAGCGATTTGATATGTCAATTACACTCATAAATATATGATAGCTAATTGACATGATCCATCTAAAAAAAATGTAAACACATTTTCAAAGTAGTGAATAAAATAAAAGAATCAAAAATAAAAGTTACATCGAAGTAAGAAATGAAATTCATTAAAAAATCAAGTACAAGCAAAAAAAAAGTAGAAACTATACACGTTGACGGGAGAAAACTTACCAAAACATGTTTAATTAAGCAGGTATTTTTACAAAAAAATATAACTATTTATAAACTTTTATCCAATCACAAAAAAAAATTGTGAGATCAGGCTTACACATCCTCCCTTTAAAGAGATTATTCTAATATATTTTCTGGGTCCATTATCCAAAATTAATATTTATTTTGGGAAGAACATTGCATAAACCTTTGTGAAAAGATTAGATTCTAACATGGTATTATTAGCGTGTCTGAATGAATTAATACCATGTTAGAGACAAATCTTTTCACAAGCATTTATGACAATATTCTTTCTAAAATAAAATACCATAAAAATATATTTTTTTGAAGAAAACATTTTCATGATTGTAACAAAGCATAAGAATACTTTAATAATAATAATAATAATAATAATAATAATAATAATAATAATAATTATCCAAGTGACAATTATATTTTCATCTCTTTAAACTTTCATAAACTTTGAAGTTTTTGTGCAATTTGTTTTGCTGTTGTTAGTATTACAAATAGATCACTTTCATTTCATGGGGCCAATTTCCCCTTTCCATTTTGAAACTCCAACTCACACGAAGTACGACGCAATAAAAAAAATCTTCTACACCGAACTCGCACATAGCTCACGCCGAAATAAACTGCAACACAAAACAACAACGAATGACGCGAAAACGCCTGACACTTCCATTACCAAAACACATTTGAATTCGCGAGCACAGAGCGCGTTTGACTCGAAAATGCTGCGCTGCCTCTGGAGAAAGAACAATCTGCCAGATTCTTTATCAGAAAGATATCTGTCAGATATTTTAACAAGAAAGACATTGGTGAAACGCAAAATAAATATCAGGCACTTTTATCTGATGGATAAAATATCTGTCGGTTTAATATTCGGAACTTTATCAGGCACCGGTGAAACAGGCCCTTAAATGGTAATTGATTGGTCTGGTGAATAAGATTTTAAAAAATTATTTATTAGAAATACTTGAAATGGAAGCAGATAACATCCTGTAAATTATTGAATATTTTTAAAATAAGTGTAATTTTAATTAAGTACCATAAACTAATTTCTTTTTTTAGAGGGCTATGGACTTTCCTTCTCAGGTTATATACAAATTAATGAACTATTATTTGGGTATGATGAGTTTTTTCTGTTAGATTTGACAAATCTTAGAGATATTGTACAACAAAAGGATAATATTAATGTTAAAATGATATGTTCTTCAAACAGTAGTGCAGAGAGAGAGTTACTAATTTAATTAGAATAAATTTAAGAATTAATGTTAAGTTAATACATGCCCTTTACATTTGGTTATTGCTGAAAAGTGCAATTTTCATTCAACGTCGGCCCCTTTGCCATGGACGCGACGTCACCTGGACAGCCAAGTAAATTCTGCAATTGTCATGTTTTTATTGACACTAATTGCGGGAATGTAAATGGTAGTCAAAAGAAAAGAAGATTAGTTGACAACGAATGATGCTTTCAGTTCGTGTGCCTCAATTGCTACTCATGGAACATCCAAAAAGGTAAAGGGATAATTGCTTATTATTAACATATTTGAATAATACTATTATGGAGGGTCATTTGCTTGCAGTGCCGAAATGTTTCAAGCACGTGCTTCAATTTTATAGGAAGTAAATAGCAGTTTTCTTGAATTCAAAGACGAAAGTCCTTGAAAATTTAATTACTATATTTTAATTTCTCTTAAAAAAATCGAAGAGGAGTTATTGGAGAAGGCAAATCATGGAGAAAATAACGGATCAAAAAATAGAAACTGAGAATAAAGGAAAACCAGCTCTGCTCGTACATAAACTCCAAAAACATTATAACATTGTAAGTTGTAATAAAATGATTAATTTGTATTTTTTGTCTTTCATAATAAATAATTACGAAAATGGGTTTGATTTCTTCCATCAATGTGATAGAGGTTAGGTTGCAAAATTTCTGCCAAATACAGTTTCTTTCGAAAAGTGAAATTTCCGAAATTTCCCGAATGTTGCTCTCGTCTAAGGGATTTCTACGATACCACAAAACTCTTGTTATTGAGTTCAGTGTCCTGAGCCAATGAACATTGACATGAAATTCCTCCATACGTCGAAAGAACTTCATTTTCTTCTATTTGAGTGAATGAGCCATGGCTAAAACCAGCCTTCCCGAGGTCTAGAACTTTCAAGCCGCGGCTCGGAACTTCAAAAAAGCCGCGTCTTATCAAGCGAAACTGGGGTTTTCATGGAAGAAACCGCGGCTCAGATCTCGTCTTCGAAATCCACACTAAGTGAAACGTCTATTGGAACGTTTGATTCGGAACGTTGGCAAGCAATTCCCAGCACATTTCTGCATGCAGTCTCCCGACCTCAGACTCCAAAAACGCGGAGGCAAGCGGCGTGCATAAGCCCAAGCTGAAATCGTAAGGAGAGTTTTTTTTTCAGACACAGGTAACCAATGATAATTCTCAATACTCATTGATTTTCGACAAGTAATGATCTTTTGCCCATTATGTGTCGTTTTTTTCTTCTTCCAGAACTCTCTCGGCTGATAGAACCGCACAACGCGTGCTCGTTGCCAGTTATCTGCTAATGCCCTCAATTCATCTTAAGCAATATTTCGCAGCCCTGCCATAACGAATTTAACACCTCTCAGAAGAAATTTCTACAGTCTGCTCAGGCACAAATGTGTTAACAACCGCCCAAAACCCATTCAAACATTTTGACAGAAGTTCTGGATCAAGCATCCAGGAAATGTAACGCCCCGCTCGTTTCAAGTGCGCACGCGTATGTCCTCGGGGATTGGAAACTAAATGAAAACTTTCCCACACTCACCCCATGGGAACTGACGCTTCCTCCTGGTTGATGGAAGCTGCTGTCACAGCAGAACGAAAGAGGATCCTGCAATGAAAAGAAAAAAAAGGCCTTTCATGATCAGCTTCAAAACACTTCGTTGCTCCGTCTCCTAGAGGCAGCCACCAAACAGGCCAGCCTGTGACACCATCGCGAATTGAAAATAAAAGACGCCCGAAGATTTGGCCACAACGACTGCGTCTCCAGCAAGACCGATTGTTTCGAAACACACACGCATCCTCACCGGTGACTGCGTTTGAAACAAGGGTCTCTCGGTGACGAGCACTGTCAAATCTCTCTCTGT